AAAAGGTATAAAAAGTATAAAAGGTACTAAACGTATAAAAGGTACAAAAGGTATAAAAGGTATGAAAGGTATGAAAGGTACAAAAGGTATGAAAAGTATGAAAGGTATGAAAGGTACAAAAAGTATGAAAGGTATATTTTGTCTATCATCTAATTGCTAGCTATCCGATAGTCCGTTTAACATATATTGTAGCTCGTTACGATCGTCATGATCTTCCAGATCTTTTGGAAACATAATCTTTAATATGTTCCTAGGCGTTTACACATTCTATAACAGTAGTTCTCATATGCTACCTGCTGACAAGCTTAGAGTTTATCACTCACCAACAAAAATAAGTACTGTGCATGGTTGGGATAGTTGGGTGTGAACTTTTGAAAAAATAAAGAAACCAATGCTCTTTTTTTTTGGTGATAGTATGGTTTTTCTTTCTGCCATCTCTGCTGACCTAATTAAAATTTTTGACAAAAAGTGGGCGATTTAGCTTACTTCCTCCAAAAGATCAGCATTGTTTACACCTGCCTAATTTGGATGAACTCAGTAGAATGCAACCACGTGTTTGTTTTGCTTATCGATACAGTGCTACAGTACAGAGAAGAGGTCGTTACCCCCATTTTAGAGATACCCAAGTGAAGTCGGTGCCCAGAACGAGTCCCAAGAATAAGGCTTAGCTTTACAATCGAGATATAATAATTAGTTGCAACTATTATATAATTTTTACTTTTATGTCTGGCACGGGCTATAATAGTGTGTCATATTACTTCTTTTTTTTTTGCTTTTTTCATCTTTGTTCATTTATGTTAGACTATTTTAGAATTTGTTGAAAAGTTTTTTTTTCACACCGTGAAGTGTTTTTTTTTCTAAAATGTTTATGTCTTACGTAAACATGGCTTTATTTTTTTTACTTTTATGTATGAATAAGGGTTTAATTATGTTGTCAGGCTTAGATGGAAGAAATCTGAAAGAAGAGAAGGTAGTCATGACGGGCCGTAGGATCTATCTGTTAAGGTATAGTCTTGGGCCAAGTGCAGATCAAGACTATAAAGAGATAAATCTTTCTACAGCAGGTCGAACATAGATGCTTATAGAGTAACCGGGTTAGCTAAGAATTGTAATTTAGGTAATTAAAAGGTGGCATTTGTCATTTAGAGATAGCTCTCATATGCTATCTGCCGACAAATTTAGAGTTTATCACTTACAATACAAATTCTTCTTTTTAATTCATATTAGTCATAGTATCTAATATCTAGCCTAATAAATTCGAGGCATGACTGTCTAATGATTTTAAAAAAAAAATTTATAACAATAATGTCTTGGGTTGGGTATAGTAGATTAATCCTTAATAGTAATAACAAAAATATATGACTAATACTAATCAACTGCATTAACAGCCGATTAGTATTAGTCATTAGAGGCTTGCATTAGGTTCCAAAGCCCGGCCCGGCCTGGGCCCGGCCAGCCCGGTGTGCGGGTCTAAAAAAAATTTTTATAATCGTGGGCTGAGCTGGGCTGAAATTTTGAAAAAATTTATATTAAAAATTTGCAGGCCGAGCCGAAACGAGCCAGGCTTAACAAAAAATTTTTAACTGTAGGCGGGCCCGGGCTAGCAAAAAATTTGTAACCCTAATTGCGGGCCGGGCCTTAAAATTAGGAATTTGCAGGCTCTATTAGTCATATATTTTTGCTATTACTGTCAAGAACTAATACAAATGACCCAGATAGAGATGGACAAATCGCAGCTTCTTCAAAAATTCTACTTGGGATAGAATCACAAATTTTGTAGAGTTCTTAATTTTTTGTCAGATAAAAAATCATAAAAAAATTATTATTTTAACTAGACGCTTGAGTTGCTCGAAGAGAGCTTGAAATGAGTGTGTGTATTGTAATATTTAATCTTACCTTTATGAAAATAGTTATACATTTAGATTCATATTGGTAGATCCTGAATGAACATTGTGAGCATGGTAACTGATCTGAAATTGGGGAAATATGTATGATACGGATATAAATCAACACTAAAATTAATCTAAACACTACTCTAACTAAAAGAAAAACAAGATCGAAGCTCCAA